CTACACATGTGCTGAAACTTGCACTCATGCTGAATGTGCTGATAATTGCTCTTATGCTGAATGTGCTGATAGCTGACCCGTATGAATGTACTGATGATAGCATTCGTGATAAATGAACGGATCATTTCAAGCGTGTTAGATTGTCTAAAAGTTCAATGTATTTAATCTACACTCATAGCAAACGTTGAAAATCTATACAATAATTAGAAGAGAATAATGAGTAAGTCTGCGCTCGATGGTGATAATTGTGATCTATCATGTTAATGAATGGAAGTTTGTGAGTTAGTATGCACGCTTCCAGAAGATTCTATGAAGAACTAGAGAGCATGAACAGAATAAAGCTATTGTTCAATTCCAATGGAACAAATGAATTTTTGACTTGAATATTGTCTCTTTCTTTAATTTCGCAGAAGAAATACAGGCAAGCAAGTTCAAATAATACATAATGCCCACTTGCGTCAAGATTTGTCGAATGAATTTCATTTTCTTCATTATACAGCAATCGTTCTTGATAAAAACACGGGTCTAGTGAGGAAACAAAATTTTTATCAATTCCAATTATTCTAAGAATCAGTTTACTCATTTCTTTAGATTTTAAAAGACATGAAATTAATTTATTGATAATATCCTTTCGGTCCATATATGTTGGAAGCTGCATCCTCGACCTTTAAATCAGTAAAATTCAAAATTTTTTTCTAGAAATTTTCGGTTGCAATTTGCAGAATGTATTTCATGAATTGCTGCCATAGCACTGAAATTTATTTGAAACATAGTAGAGTTGTTGTACAAAGATTTTCTTTTGAATATGCGAATAGCAAAGCAATTACCGACAAGTATCTAGACTGCACCCTGTCAGCGCGTGTCTATTATAAAGCAGGTTTGGGGAAGTAATTCAAGTGGTGATCTACACCCAACAATTACCCCGAAAGCATATTCACAGAGCCTCGGATTACCCCGACAGTATATTCACAGAGCCTCGAAATATAAGAGCGTAGAAATTAATTCAAATCATTCATTATCTCCAAGTTTATGTTTGATTCTTATCACAATGGAGCAATTAATTTTTGAGAAATATATTCCCTGAAAAAGTTCGATTGAAGTTTCTGTATTTGCACTGTAAATACCGCCAAGAAATACCGTCATCTGATACCTTATTACCTTAACTTATTTCTTTCAGAAGCACGTGAGGAAAGAGTACGGTTCAATTATAGAGAGAACTCATTATCTTAGCAGAATAGATTCTTTCTTTTCCGTAAATTTTGTGGCAATAATGATTGAATTGATGAGACGCTATTGCAATGGAAATGACACATGAATTTCCACTGCACATTGACCGGGATCGAACGTTTATCCATGGTGATTGTGAGCAATGCGTGACAGTATCCATTTATAACCTTGTCTTCATTTTCTCTACGATGTTATTTCTTGCCTTGCGTAGCTTTTCAATAATCAATTCATTTCCTAATTACTTGTAAAATTATAGTTCCACATTCTTTAACTGCTCCTGAAAATTTGTAATTCATTGTAGGAAAAATCAACAGCCAGAGATCGTATATGAGATCACCAGCGGCCGCCACAAAAAAAAGTCCATTGTTGCGAAAATGTCAGCGCAACGGCGCGCGGTGCCGCCGCCGTTCTCACGGCGCAGCTTCAAGACCTTCGCAGTCTCAAGACCCTCGCAACCCCCGGACCCTCGCAGCCCCAAGATCCTCACATCCCTAAGACCCTCGTAGCCCTAAGATCCTCGCAGCCCCAAGATCCTCGCAGCCTCAAGACTATCGCAGCCCCAAGACCCTTGCAGCCCCAAGACCCTCGCAGCCCCAAGACCCTCGCAGCCCCAAGACCCTCGCAGACCGGGGCCTCGGCCCAACTCGCTGCAAAGGTCGGCCGCTGTTGGAGCACCGCGCCCCAAGACCGCGCAAAATGCCGGGCTATAAAGACGAAATGTCAGCATGTGTCAGAAAGCATCTTTTTGTGCCGAGCGATATTCTGCAAAGAAATTAAATTGGATTGGCAGGTGCCATTCTGGTTCAGGCGATTCCTTGCAGCTGCGCCAGATGACGGAACGATCGAGTCACGCATTTTGTGCTGTTCTTGGCCGAATATCTGACGGGGGTTATAAGTTATTACTCAAAAACGATGAAACAGCGCAAAACTTTTGAATCATGACAACGAAATTGGCCATGAAATTGCAGTCAGTTTATGACTAGAAATACTTTAGCTGCCATTGTTAATATATCAAATATTTTATTTATGTAAGAAGTAAACTTATCCCTTGAAAACAAAAGTAAATTTGTCTCGAAAGTCTTGAAAAGCAATCTCTAAACCAGAGAGCGTTTCCTGAATACAGAGATCGATCGTGTGTCATCACAAGATGGAAATTTTCCTTCAAATACAAGATAGTTATTTCAAACGAAATTTTTCACCTTGAGATGCTTATTATATTAATATATAGAATATAAAGAGGTCTTGGTATAACCATCATTTTTATTTGCTGCTCACCTCACCATTCTTCAATTCAAAAAATTTCAATATGGAAAATTCTACAATGAAATTTTTTTGGGCTTGCATATTTATTAATCTCATGCTAATTACATTAATGATAAGCGGAATTCATGGAGTATTCAATGAAGAGTCAGTGGCAGCGACCCAAGACATGGGAGGTCGAGTCACGCACTCTGAAAATTCATGGGTCACATTGTCCAAATATTGACACGCTTTCTGCTCGTAGCAGTGATACGCCCTCTCATCTTACCAAACTTGGTCAGGATGACCAACAAAAGAGCCAGAAGTGCGTCGCTTTTTAGACAAAACCTCGCTCATTCTTTCGTTTATGGAGCCGACATGTGCTGCTTCCCAGCGCCGTAAAACTAAACAGTCTACGGAGCCTCGCAGCCACGTTTAACTTACTTGATCAAGGCAACGAAATAGTGGAGTTACTCTGATTCTGATGCTGACACTGACCTCTTGGTGATACTGACCTCCTGCTGATACTGACCTCTTGGTGACACTAACCTCATGATGATGCTGACATCATGCTGATGATGACATCATGATGATACAGATTAGAACAGACCGCAGCATGTTCAGTGCTCTTATTTTGATCGTATTTTCTAAGTAATCGTCCTAGCAGCACGGTCAGTATTATTTGTGTAGGCCTGCGAGCAGCACGGTCAGTATTATTTGTGTAGGCCTGTGAGCAGCACGATCAGTATTATTATAATAACCATCCAGGCTTGTGTAAGTCGCATCATTGATGGAGTTCACGGCCATGATCGGATCAGCATTTACCAAGCATTATTCATGTCCCGAAATTGATTTATTCTAAGTTTCAAGCTCTAATATATTGAAGAAAATAGCGCATCTCTGCCATAGAGACATTACGGCGCGCAGTCGCTCCCTCCATGTTGTGCAGCACGGCTTGTCAGCGCGCGACGAGCGTCGAGCGCGACTGCGGTGCGCCTGCGCGGCGAGGGTAGATCAGCATGACGTCACAGGCTCCTCCTTCCCTCTAACAGCTGCCAGATGTTTCATAACTAATTCATTATATTTTTTATATTGGTCGTAAATAATTTATTTTAGTAATTGGTGTAACTGAACAAATAAGTAGAGTTATCTTCTGTGGTTGTGTATGTGTAAGTAACACAGACTTGTGTCGAGTAAGATGTATAATGACTTATATTAGAGGTAGTAGGAGTTGATCTTTCAATAAACATGGGTGTGCAGCCTTCATGGCACGTCATTATGGTTGCACGCTCGGTAGTGTTCATACAAGTCCGTGTCTGGCTCCTTACGCCTCGTATTCCATGACGAGAGTGTCAAGTGCTCATCAAAATATTATTCGACTGCCCGAGTCAAGCGACCTCGTATAGGTCGATATTTTTCCTTCCTGGTATATCGTGTCACCGAAATTTGATCACACGGCGATATTACACTTTGCGATGTACATGAAACTTTTATAAATATCGTGTTAAAATTTTTGACTGAAAGAAAGAATAAATTCTTTTGTATTTTGAGTTGAGAATTACCCCGCAGATGGCGCCAGGTGGAGCGCAGGAGAGCAACGTTTGTGCAGTGAAGTGTCTTCCTGAAACGCGAATTTGGTTAAGCCGAAGTCGAGGAGTTCGGACGACGATGTTGGAGCAGTAGTCGAGTGACGGCGGACAGTGTTCGAGGACGTGTAGGCTCTCCATAGGCCTCAATTGACTGAAAACTCTACATCCACTTCAGTTTACACAGTCTGAAATTAATAAGTCTTTTTTAAATAAACGCAAGCAGTATCAGTGTTGATTTTCTGGTTATTTAGAATCGTCTATGGCCGACTCTGATGTGAGTTATTCGTTAAAGGAGATATGGTCAGATGGCAGCTTAAGCCTATTGCTTTCTCACTCAAGACATTAACACGAGAATTAGAATATTTTTGACGGTGACTTTGTCTCGAGTTTCATTTATTTAAACAGCGAAAAATACCTGAAACTGAATTGCTGCTGCATTTTAATATCAATTCCAAGTTGCTGCAAGTTCTGACCACTAGAAATCTCACCTTGAACAATAATTAAGTTAGAAAATATCAATGTATGAAATATGACACTCCGCATAGATTAGGACTAGAAGTTTTTAATGGAAGTAAAGCTGTGTTTTTGTTCTCAACACATACGAAATACCCAGCCAAGTTCTCAGTGAATATTTATCTATTTAGACCCGAAGTTATGTTGCCAACTTAAAAAAAATGCATCAACAAGCAAAACATTTTTCTATTTGTGTTGTGAGGTGAAGTGACCAAATTGTGTAGAGAATATTAAGTTTTAATAATCAAGCATTAGGAGTCTAATTAAATTATTTATAACTTGAAAATTTGATTGGTTTCATAAAACAGGAGATTAAACTTGAGTGAAAAGTGAACTGAATTTTATTCCTGTGTATGACATAATTTATATTATAGGCAAGCAATTTAGGAAAATTTTGGTAACAAGAAAAACTGAAAAAACTTGATTTCAAATCATAGAGCTGCAAAATAAAATACATTAATTATATAGATCAACTAAAAACACACAACTTAACAAATAAAGGAAATCCTAACTTACAGACTAAAATAATGAATTTGCAATCTAGCATTTGATTAGAAAAATATGTCTTTTTACATCTATTGATGAAGAGGCTTTAGAACACAAGTGCATAACTAGGGCAATTCATGTACCCACAAGCTAAAGATAAGAATTAAAAGCAAAGATAATAGTTAAAGATAAAGATATTAACTAGGTAAAATGTTAGCCAGTCCACCATCTGTGTCGTCGCCCCTGAACCTTCATCACCAGGACGGCTCAGGCATGTACTCCCCTGACAAGATGATGGCCTCGGCCGCCGCCGTGTCCGCGGCCAAAGGAGTGTCCGCCAACGGAGGATTCCACTCAGGAAGATACAGTCCATCCTTCAGGAGTCCTGATCCTAGGAGGTGTAACACCCAGGTACGATTAGCTTAGTTAATGTACTAACCTCGTTAACAGTTACATTTGAAATCTTATTTATTTTACACACAGTATCAACTTTTTTTAACAGTTGAATTACAATTAGTGCCAGCTTATTCGATTTACTGGCTTTGTTTGAATTTCATAAATCATTGTTAGAGATTAATAATCTTGGTAATAAATTTAGATCGAGTAATAAAAATTGTTAGAAAATTTTCATGAAAAAGGCGCCCTAGTAGAGATCCAAGGCAATAACTAGCTGATACGAATTTCATTTTAACTATCAGATTTTGGGAGGAAATTAATGAATAGATATGTAGCTCTCAGCATCCTACATTCTAATTATTATTATTAATAAATAATTACATTATTATTATTCTTATTATATAAATACATTCGAATTACATGATAGATAGCTCCTAGCATACTATATTCAAATAATTATTGTTAAATATTTACATTATTATTATACTTAATAAATAAATACATTTAAATTACATAATAGATAGCTCCTAGCATACCACATTTAACTCATCAAAAACTTAAGGACTTGATAACCAAAAAATTCTGTGAATTTTTGCCGCAATATTTGAATTAAATGTTAAAAATATAGATATTAGCTACGAATAGTCCTGTAAACGAAAATTAAAAACAAAAAAATTTATCGCAATAGAATGATTTATTTGACGCTTCTAAGGAATACATTTATTTTAGCACCGATTTGGATATATGATATATCCCAAAAATTTTCATTTTCCTGAAGTATTTTACCATATTTCAAATAGTATATATTTGGCGGGATCAAATCACCGTATCCTTCATATATGTTGATAGTAAATTATATTGTAAATAACTGCGCTAGTACTTGTATTTTAATTTGAATTTACATATAATCTATGCAAAATTTGCTGTTTTCATGCGTTTGCTCGTCCAATTGGCGTTTCTTCTCACACTATTCAATGTTGCAAGTACAAAATTTCGGTTGAAAAACTAGTCATTTACGATTAATGTTCGGTTGAAAAACTAGTAATCTATGATTACTGTTAACTTAACTCAATAATGTAATTAATTTATATTGAAACCATTCATTAGAGCACTGATGCATTTATCCCCGAAAATTTAGGTAAACTTATCAAGTTTTTTTTCTTAATTTTTTGTTTCGCTGAGCCATACAGTATTCTCCGATATTTATATATGGGTTGTGATTCCCGTAGAGTTTTGAACATTCTCTAACTTTCTATTCAAGTTTCTCTTAATCTCGTTTTGCAACGTTGTATTAAATTATAATTAAACTGAATTTTAGTTCGAAATATATGGTTTACCTTGAAATATTATCAGTTCAACAAATTTATTATTTGAACAAATTTAGGGAAAGTTATTTACGAAAATTTTGTTGTGATTCCTCCCAAATGCTGATTTATTTGCTTGAATTTCAAAATTATTAATAGATAAAATTCACTGCCTTCATTTAATTGCATTTAAAAATACTAATAACAACGTAATTCTGTCATTTGCAGAGGAACATTTGTCCATGGTTGTGTAATAATATTTTGAACTGCTCGTGCAAAAGTTTATCCCAATCATTAGTAGCTGCAGAACATGTGGCTGTAAAACAGTCGAAACCATTTATTAACACGTTATATATTTCGGGTCATAGTATTTTTGAGTGTGTTGAGGCTTAGCCTTAATAAATATATATATTTTACTAAAGTTTTGTCGAAATTTCACACCAGAATTTCGTCCATGAGCGTTATTTAAATCTCATTGAATTTATAGGAATGCTGCTTCGTATCGGATCTTTCTGCCGTGTGGCATTAAGTTACAATTGACACAAATGCACAACGCTTTAAACTAAATAAATATGCGAGAATCATGACAATATTGAAAGAATTAGTCCGTCACAACTGCGGTTATACACAGGTTTGGAGATCAGGGCTTGAGGCGACCATTGCAAGCGATTCTTGGGCCATAAAATTTTTTGGTTTGGTTTTTCGTCTTCAGACTCGCGGCGCATAGCAGACGGCTACGTCTCTACTTATTATCTCGACTACCTTATTGTTACTTATTATCTCAACTAGCTTATCATTGCTTATTATTTCGACTAACTTATTTTCTCGAATAACTTGTCATTGCTTATTATCTCGACTAACTTATAATTGCTTATTATCTCGACTAACTTATAATTGCAATTATTATCTCGACTAACTTATAATTGCTTATTATCTCGACTAACTTATAATTGCAATTATTAACTAGACTCAGTAATTGCTTATTATCTCGACTTAGTAACTGTATTGTCTCCAGACTAAAGGTACCTTAGTGCCCAGTAGCAGTTTTTCCAGCCAAAAGTCAACGATTATTGAAATTTATTTTAACAAAATTCTTAATATAAATTTGTTATTTAATTTCTCCTGTTACGGAAATGAATTTGAAAGCAAAACTTCATTTATTATGTTTTGTCTTAATTATTTTCTGGTTTTCATTGCAACAACAAAATTATCAAGTGAGACTGGATCGGGAACATGTAATTTTTGTGTTGATAATAGGGTACGTATTTTGATTCCTACTCAGTAAGAATCGATGCCTATTTATTATAATTGTAATGAAGCTCTTTCTCATGTTTTTTCCCTTTTAGCAAGTAACTTTATTAAATGAAGTTTATAACCAGCTTCAATCAGAATTTTATTGGACCTTGATTATGTGAGACGCATTTTATCCGTTGAAAAGCGTATTCAAGGCTTGAGATTCTGCAGTTATAATGGATGCTAGGAAATAATTCCGTTCGTGCATATTGAGTGCCCATTGCATTTCTGAACGTAAATTTAATTCTTTCGTTAAAATAATCTACGTATTATTTTGGCCCGCTTTTTGGCCCGCTTCATAAGAATTTAGTAAAGTGTGACGAAATATTTCAACCGAATTCGTGATATTCTGTGTTATATTCTGTGATACTGCAAACAATTCGGCGATGTCCGACATAATTTCTGGCATGCTTTAATCGAGTCTGGGAACATTCAAAAACATATTCAGGCTGGCTAAAAAAGTATTTCTTTTGCTTGTTGTACTATATATTCTGGCTTGTTTGAAATAAATCCAGTGATATGTCCGCACGACTGCGCTGATAAGCGTGACTGTAGCAGCGGCGGCGTGCTACTGTAGCAGCGGCGGCGTGCTACTGTAGCAGCGGCGACGTGCTACTGTAGCAGCGGCGGCGTGCTACTGTAGCAGCAGCGGCGTGCTACTGTAGCAGCGGCGGCGTGCTACTGTAGCAGCAGCGGCGTGCTACTGTAGCAGCGGCGGCGTCTAGCTCTGACTGAAGTTTCTTCCTAGTTTTAATCATCACAAGTTTAATTAAGTCACAATCACACTTGCAATTCGATCCAACACAATAAAAAAATCTGTTCACAATACTCAGCTCGGATCCCCTGATACTGAGTTACTAGATGATAACATAGGTAAGAAATGTTGTCAGTATCAGTTCCCTAGAAAATTTATCATAGCGAAAAGAGGTCATAATCATTATTTAATGTCGAAAGATATTTTAAAATAATTACGAATTTTATTGATGAAGACCTGCATGGTTTTGACGAGTAAATAAATCGAATAATGAGATGGATGGAAATTCGTTCTGAAAATTTATTGCTTATAATTTAGTAGGTAATTTATTTTACATACGCGAATTAAGTTATTTTCATTGGGCGTAGTTCTTGGTCACTTGTAGATAATTCCATGCCACACTTGCCTTCCATGCCACACTTGCCTTCCATGCCACACTTGCCTTCCATGCCACACTTGCCTTCCATGCCACACTTGCCTTCCATGCCCCACTTGCTATAATTCCACGATTACGTGTTGTGTAGAATGCCATCATTCTACACGGTAGAGATAAGTGGAATGCTGCGTTTCATGCTATCATGCTATTCTTGAAATAATCCAGTTTATTCATGAGTCGATCCATTCGCATAGATTTTCTTTGCAGTGATAAACATTAATATTACAAGACATTATCTATATTTTCTCTATGTTTAGTTAGACTCATAAAACAGAGCATTATATACCATCGCATTATTAGTGTATACATGCTGAGTCATGAATAAATAGATGGGATCAATTATGTCTGATGTCATGTGAACGATTTTACATCATTTCCGAGTCCCGAGGAGTCGATGTGTGCGCTGTGTACGTGTTTGTTTATCATTACCACACACACACACGCGTGTATGGCGGCCTGTGTACACACAGCAAATACAGAGGCACACACAGAACGAAATGAACTTTTATTTCCTACTTGTACAAATAATTTTATCTTCAACCTGGTCAAAGTTAGCATTACAGTAACAATAATATTGTTCAACATTTCATCGGCATATAGTTCAACCAGGTTAATCTCAGCTTGAATTTACCAAGCAACATTTTTAATTTGCGCATGAATGATTCAAATGAAACTAATATAATTGAATAAAGATTCAGACCACATGCGGTACAGTCAACAAGGACCACATGCGGTCCCGTCAACAGAGACCACATGCGGTACAGTCAACAGGGACCACATGCGGTACAGTCAACAGGGACCACATGCGGTACAGTCAACAGGGACCACATGCGGTACAGTCAACAGGGACCACATGCGGTACCGGCGCTCCAGTTATCGACGTTTCCTTATATTTTTCAAGCTTTATTTATTCATGGATTAAAAGTTGAATAAATTATTCAGGGACTGCAAATATTCAAGACCGATCGAGAACATGAACATACAAAGGAAATACAACATCTTCTATAACATGAGCGTACAGAACATGCTCTAGAACATGAGCATGTAACGGGACATGTTAAAAATTAATACAGAAGATGACATTAACAAGATCACGAACATACGAAGGAACAGGATATAGAACGTGAAGATGCCAAGAGAAATGCTGGAATAATTTAATATATAAAAAAGGTTATCTAGAATAATAATTACTTTATAATTCTTAATGTAATTATTTTGTTATATATTA